GGGCTCGATCCCAGGACCCTGGGATCATGACCTGACCCGAAGGCAGACACTTAATGACTGAGCCACCCAGGCACCCCGAGAACTTAGTAGTTCTAGCTTAGGATTTCAGGAGCACATTTTGAATAATGATGGTTTAGATATGACTGGAATTAGGGAGAGAGAAGTTGCTTGATAAATCAGAAAGAAGAAACTTTTTCAGAATAGTCATCCACAAACATTTAATGAGTACCTAATATTTCAAAGAAGACTCAGTTACGTTAAAATTCAAAAACATTTGTAAGCCTAACATATGTCAGCACTTTTACACATTCTGTGTCATTGACTCTCCAAAAAATTGTTGCCCTCTTTTTTATGGATAAGGGAACTCCTCTCAAAAGTTAATTAATTGCCCAATGGTTAATAAGTAGCAAAACTGGGATTTTATTTTATTTATTTTTTAAAAAGATGTATGTATTTATTTTGGAGAGATAGAAAGTACAAGAGTGGGAGGAGGGGCAGAGGTAGAGGGAGAGGGGAAGCAGACTCCCTTCTGAGCACAGAGCCCCACGCTGGCTGATCTCACAACCCTGAGATCATGACCTGAGCTGAAACCAAGAGTTGGATGCCCAACCGACTGAGCCATCCAGGTGCTCCAAACTGGGATTTTAAATCAAGTCCTCTTTCCAAGTCTACTTTCTGCTAAACTGCTCCTAGGGTTGTCCAGCTGTACATAAGTGCATGGAGGAACCAAAAGAACTTTAAGAGAACTCTTTTAACTGAATTGAGGTATAGAAGGAGGGTAGGTGGTAAATGTAGTTGTTCCACAGTCATTTGGTTCTCAATAAGAGCATTTATCACAGTCTGTCTTGTATGATTGTTACTTGTGTATGGGTTTGTCTCCTCCACTAGAGTATGAGTTACTGGAGAGGAAGCGCCATGGTTGTCTCATATATCTTGGTAACTACTTCAAATTTATTTAAAAATAGGCTGGACATTTTTTTTAAGTGCTTTTATTTTGCAGTACCTAACATGGTATCTTGCAGATAAGTGCTCAGCAAATGTTTGAATAAGATTGAACCCAAGCCTCTTAGGACCAATCTGCCCTGAAGAAACTGGTGGTATGCCCATAACCTAGCAGTTCTTCTCTTAGCAGGCTCAGCAGGGCTGGAGAGCTCAGTGACTGAATAAGTGAGAAGCCAATATTCATCCTTCTCTCATCCTCTGAGAGGTTATCTTG